GAGGTACAACTGGCAGTTAAAGAGAAAAAAGCAGCGTTCAAGAAATGGCTTGGAAACAAGGAGCCAAATAAACGCGTGCGATATATCGAGGCACGCAAGGCGGCAGCCAATGCAGTGGCAAAGCTGATTCATAAGAGAAGTTCGGTGAGGTATCGGAGGGAATTTCTAGACGGAAAACATGGCATTCTGGTAAACCAGCCGCCGCCTGCGAGGTGAAAAGAAAGGCGGTCTAAAAGTCCTGAAGGACAGGTCCAGACACCCTGCTACCGAAGAAGAGGACCGACATTCTTCGGCGACGTTCAGAGTACTCTGATGAACTAATTAGCACCGAACAACCGGAGAAGAACTGGCTGAATATCAACAGGCAACCGCTATTGGTGATTTCATTTACGAAGTCAGAGAAGCGGTTAAAGTCTGGTAAAGTAACAAGACTGCAGGATTCGACTACATTCGCCCTAATTTGCTTAAAGCTTTAGACCAACATGCATGCTGTAGTCTTGTTATCTTTTTATAAAAGTGATAACCAGCGCTCTCCGGCAAAGTTTGCAACCCAATCTGACGTAGCGGGTAGGGGTATGAACATGTTAAAGCACGAAGAATTGTGCTTTCTCGTCCTCGTTGCGCTCTGTAGATATAAATGTCCACAGTCAGCAGGTACTTGTAAAATGAGGTTTCACTGCGTTTCGGCACCGACCGTAATTCCTGATGTATAAGGACATAACATAGTACCCTGCTGATTTCTGATGACGTTTCAGGAGGAGGGACTCACCTGTAAACTGAGTTGCACGAAGCAGTGTACCGCCCTCTTTCTCGCAAATACCGAACAGATCATCCAAACACCAGGTGATAACCGGCGGCGTTTGTGGACCGATGAACTTAATGTAATTGAAAATAACTAACTACGAACAGAGACAGCGTATATTAGCTACAAACACACGAATATGCTTAAACATAAACATGATTCTCTCACAGAGGATAGAATGATATGCTGTCTTTACACCACGACGCATATTCTTTGGCACGATCATGAAGTTATCTTATCCCGACTTTCAAGTTTCAGGAACGAGGGACGTCTGCAGTGATAACATCGATTTAGATGGTTATACACAAACCAATTAGGAGTTTATCTGTATTACTTAAATTAATCGACAGGAACCTCACGTGTATAAGGTATGAGACGTAGGTGACATACCATCCGGCATTTTCCTGTATACGTTGATGAGGTCGCCGATCAACAGACTGATTTCATCTTCTTCGTGCGCGTGATAGAATCCTGTTGCACGGACCTGGGGACAATCCCAAGCCTCGTAGATCCGCTCTTCCTCACCGTCCATAAACGTCGACGGTGGCTTGAGGATGTCCAGCCACCTGGTTCGTTCGGTCGCTGAATTGGATGCTAGAATCAGCTCCACCTGACGGCCGGCATGGTTCTGCATGAAAGTGCAACGGAAGATTTGCCGGAAGTTGCCGACCGCTTCAAAGATACCAGCCGGGAGCTAAACGTCAATTAATCATTTATTGGTGAAAACGGTTGCCTTTGTAGGTGCTTCGAATACCAGGGGTGAATCGTCCTGTAGCAGACTCATATCTACGTACTGCCGGAGACAATAGTCCAAAACGACAAAGTTCTTGTGCTCTGCCGGCTTCGCCACCACCATCGTATCGGTGAACAGGAATAAAGAAACGTTGCTAACGCACAGGCGCCCTGAAACGGTCTTTCGTTACGCGCAATGCAACGAGTAATAACATCCGACCGTGTGTGCCAAGTACTATAACCTCACAAGTTACTGGATATTTAGCTGTTTACCCCTCACGGTCTGCTGTGTTCCTTTAACACATATTCTTTCTTATCGGAACAGGGGTAAGAACCTGACCTTCTTGGTCATAAACGACTTAGAATTAGTTAACGTGTTCGAAGCTGCTAGTTGGATACAAGCCTTACTCTGAGCCCTGGGTAGTAGTTTAGCCGTTGGTACGTCGAATTCATTGTCGAAATGCTTTGCGTTTGCTAAGTTCGGTCGTGTTTCAGTTGTAGATGAATGAGTGCCATTTTGCGAAAAGAAAATATGAGACTGCATGCTATTGCATATAGAGCTTTAAAGAAGGAAGGAGGTACTTGTCACTGATGAGAGAACAATGGGGAGTAGCTCAGCATCGCAAAGTGCACGCGGTTGCCTAGAGTCTTCAACTTTTCTGAGAGCTATATCACAGCTAAATCTAGTCGTTCGTTGTCAGATT